GCGACACTGAGGGTTGCGATCCGTTGCCGGACACGGAAAAAGACAAAAAAAAAAAAAACATGCTACAGAAAAAGGCTAGGCAAAACAATTTGATTGATAAATCATAGAATACAGTTTATATGTGCAGAAAATGAATGGAACACAATTTTGGAAAGGTCTTAGTGCATGTCAATATTATCTCTAACTTTCAAGTGAGGATACTGGGACTTGGGGAGACAATTACTTTGCCCGTGATTCCTCAACTATCATTATCATTATATTATTTGGACGCCTTTTTTCGCCCAAAGCCTGAAATCTTCTGTATCGCGTTTGGAACAACACAAAAAAGGTCATGACAGCTGCTAGTTACCTGGTGTGATGCTAATGGACAGGCACGCCTCCTAACTCCCCAAACCACCCACTCCGTTACTTGGCACGAATCCTACACAGACACACCACGATTAGAACCATGTTTCTTAAACTGAGCTCAGCGGGGACCTGGGATGCGAACTCCTGGGAAATGAAACAGGGAGTCTTTGGGGGATCTCTTTTCCACACTGTGCGTAGATCTACTTTTAACAGGTGTTGGCGGTGAAGGAGGTAATGTATGGGGGCAGCGCCCGGAGCAAAGCTGCCACTGAAAAAGGTAAATACCAAGAGAGAGGGAGGCCAAGGAGCTGAAGACACACCTTTCCAATGACACCACCCAGCCCTGGGTAGCAAGGGGGACTGGCTAAAGATGCACGAAGAGCCACTTCCTAGACCCTCTCCTGCCCTTTGGTAAAAGATCTCCGTGGACTTGTCCCCGTCTACGTTGCTTAAGGGCAAGGACTAAAACTGAGCCGGCGTGCGTCTGGGACTGGGATGAGGGCGCGGGGGCGCAGCGACGGCGGACACGCAAGGCCAGGCCGCCGCGCAAAACCGCTCAGAGAAAGACGCCCAGAGCCAGACCGGGCAGGGCCCCGATTGCACAGTTAAGAGGACAATTCCGGATACCCCTCCGGTGACACTCTAAAGTGTCGCAGCGTGCGTTAGTTGGCAAGACGCTCTCACTTTTCCTTCATTTACTGACCTCGCAACCGTTGCCCTCGTTCTCAACTCACCTCTCCAGTTCTTGTATTCCGGAACACAGTAGTATTTGTTCCCCAGCTGGTCTGTGCCCACGTGCTCCCTCACTTCCTTTGACAGCGCTCTCCACAAGCTGCGGAACAAATCCCGAGACCAACTCATGCTTGCCCGCCCGACTCTCCGTTAGAGTCGCAGCCAGGAGGCCAAAGGAGGAACGGCGCAGCCGCGGCAGCCGCCAACCCCGCCCACCGCGCCGGAGAAGTCCTTCCTGCCTCCATCCTCGCGACCTTCTAGTAACGGTACGCTCTATTGGTCAGGTGTTTCACCACTTGGCCAATGGGAAACTCTGCTGTTACAGCCCCGCCTCTGAGCTCTGTCATGGCGGCGTCCAGTGCTCAAGCAGGTGTGAGGGGACGCGATGCTGGGGTTTTTGTCCGCGCGACAAGCGGGTTTGGAGGATCCTCTTTGCCTCCGAAGAGCGGAGTCCACACGGAGGTAAAGAAAAGCTTACTTTTTTCTACAACAGGTCAGTTAGAATATGGACCGATAGCTGTTAGCCTTGCCCCGCACTTTCCCGTCTCATCACTCTCCTCCCACAAAACTAGTGGAAGGAAAACTTACTTTCTCTTTTGCTCTGTAGCTTGTGAAAATAGGGTGCCTTTTATGTACTAATAGCTTGTAGGCCGGTGCGTGTGCACGTAAGCTCGGGTGAAGGCACTATAAACCTAAATGAGGGTACTTTTTCGTTTTACTTTACTCATTCTCCCTCTTATTAAGTTCCCCCAAGGCGTAACTGTCCTCCAAGTATCCGTTCATTCATTCAGTCGACATATTTAGTGAGTTCCTACTATGTGCCAAGCAGTGTGTTAAAAGCGGAGCATAAGCCAGGAATTGAACAGAAGTTAAGAAGGACTAGATCAGAGAAATTGGGGTCTGGGGCCATTGACAAGAGATGAAGTTGGAGAAGTAGGCAGAAGCTAGATGAGGAAGAGCCTGTGTGTTTGGGTAAGAGATATGAAGGTGAGAATAAGGTGACAACTCTCGCATTTTGCTTTCTGCTTGGAGCAATGGGTTGAAATTGAAAGCAAAAGTGGGAGCCAAGTTAGGTAACTGTTGCCGTTGTCGAAGAGAGAGTTAATGGAAGCCTGAAGCAGGGAGGTAGCAGGTGGGATGAAAATAATTATGAGACTTGAAAAAATCCAATAAAT